TTTTTGGAGTTCTCTACTATTTGAACGTCATAATTGAGAGATTTTAAACTCCAAAATTTGTGGGAATTAAATGCCTGATTGATTATAGGGGCAATTTTGGAATAGAAAAAAAATCAACGAGGCATGACATTTTAAAATTTAGGCTTGAATAAAAAAACTGAAACACAATAGTATACATGGGTTTATTCAGTTGGCTAGAGTAACGAGTTCCCCTTCTTATACCAAAGTTCGAATTCAAACTGAACCGGTTCAGATCGGTTTCGGTCTCGGTTTTTCAACACTCAGAACCGGTCCAATATAATTAATTTATATATATATTTTTATATTATATATATTTATAATTTTTTTTACATATGGCTCATTTTTATTGGTTGTATATGAAGCTTCATAGGCGTGCATGCACACAATCAGCACAAAACTTATAACGCAATTAGGTTTTCGTTTTCCTTTCGTCCGTTCGTTTCCTTCTCCAATTTTGTTCATCTCCTCTCTTCAGCAGCCGAAACCCCTTTGACAGAGGCTCTGTCTGCGCCAAACCTCCCTCAGCCATCATCTCTCTCAACCAAACCTCTCTCTCTCTCTCTCAGCCTTCCTCTCTCTCATCCTCTCTGACAAATCTCTGTCTGCGCAAAACCTCTCTGTCAGCCAGCGCCTCTATCAGCCAGCACCTCTCTCAGCCTCCGTTTCTCTCAGAGCCGCCACCTCTCTCAGTCGCCGCCATCACAGGTCAGATTGTCTCTTCTTCTTTTTTTTCTTTTTTTTTTCTTTTCCCCCTTCGAATTTCTGGCTAACCCTATCTGTCTGCAATTCGCAGATTGAACACAGCAGTTCGCAGCCACCTCTTCATTTTATTTAGCTCTTTTTCTCTCAGTCAGGTATGATTCACCATAAATTATTTGAGAATTTGAGTTTCTTTGTTATGCTGTCAAGCTTTGTTATTGTCTGTTGTTTGCACATACTGATTTCTTTATTTTTGTAATGTTTGTTTGCTCATCATTTCTGCATTTTCATGTTTGTATATTTCTTTTCTTCACATTTTACGTAATTTTATAACCCGCAGCACCGCGCGGGTCCTTTTGCTAGTCTAAGCTAAACTTAATTGGGTCTTTTTCTCATTGAGCTTGGCTTGGTATTGACCATTTATGTAATTCATCAAACAAAATCCCTGCAACTCATATGAGAAAGACAGGTGAACCATTGCAAAGCTCATTGACTATGCAATGGGAACTCAATTGAAATAAATAAGTAAAGGACCCATTCTACCTCTTCGGAAGTAAGGGCAAAATAGAAACTTAATCTATCTTTCAAGGACAGAAGTGTAGTCTTTTAGCCTAAAATTTACTGAATTTATGATTTTCATGAGCAGTCTGTGACATGTGGAATGGATAGAGAAATTGATTCCATATTATTAAAACCCGAGAGTATATATAATCTGTGTTGAAATGTGTGCACCTAATGCCTCTGCGTGTGACATCTCATATGGTTTCTTGCTTTTGGTAGCATCAGTTGGTTGATATCTTATATCTAGGAAAAGGTGTTTTCTTTTCTATGCTCTTGTATGCATCTGTAGTTATTTCTGTATTTGTCTGTTTGATATGGGGCTGGTAGATATAATTATATTTTTTGAGAATAACAAATGTAGGGTTTTAGACATTAGGTGTCAGGGAAGTTTGGGTTGGGTTTGGTTTTATTAACAGGTTGAGTGGGGGATTTTCTCTTTTTTGGGTATTAAGGGCAATGTTGGGAAGCGGGGGTGTTTCGGACGGGTACGAGGTCCGTTCAAAGAGACCAAGAATGATGGACTCGAATCCCTACTTCGCAGTGAGCAGCGGCACAAGTGGCTTTCAACCTTACAGCTATGGTGGGGGTTATCAGCCCCCTGCCTTTCCTGTGGCCCGTCTCAGGGGGCTTCCTTTCAACTGCACTGATATCGACATCTTCAAGTTCTTTGCGGGACTGGATATTGTTGATGTGTTGCTGGTCAACAAGAACGGACGCTTCTCAGGAGAGGCCTTTGTAGTCTTTGCTGGACCCATGCAGGTTGAGTTTGCACTTCATAGAGATCGTCAGAACATGGGGCGGAGGTATGTTGAAGTTTTCCGGTGCAAGAGGCAGGACTACTACAATGCTGTTGCAGCAGAGGTAAACTATGAAGGTATTTATGATAATGACTATCAAGGAAGTCCTCCTCCATCTAAATCAAAGAGGTTCAGCGACAAGGACCAAATGGAGTACACTGAGATATTGAAGATGCGCGGTCTCCCCTTCTCTGTAAAAAAATCTGAAATTCTTGATTTTTTTGGAGAATTCAAGGTTGTAGAAGATAGGGTGCATATTGCTTGCCGTCCGGATGGAAAATCTACTGGAGAGGCATATGTTGAGTTTGTTTCTGCGGAAGAGGCTAAAAAGGCAATGTGCAAGGACAAGATGACAATTGGGTCGAGGTACGTGGAGCTGTTCCCATCGACACCAGATGAAGCTAGACGGGCTGAATCCAGATCAAGGCAGTGATGATCAGAGACAGTGTAAATTTTTTTTATGTGAAATTTCCATTGTGGGGCTAAGACATTTTTATCTTTGGGTTATATACAAACATCATTTGTTATCTTTTTAAATGGTTAAATTGAAGTCCATATGTGGACAAAAGGAACATGTGGGTTATCTTTACTAGCATCTGCTACCACAGTTGTTGTGGTTCTACTTTCTGTTTTGTAATTGCTTCATTTTTCTGCCTGGTTATCAAACCGCCCGCTTAGCCATATAAGCAAGCAAATTTGCTCAATGAAAGAAATTGGATGGATATGATTTCTAAGTGGCGGGTGCTGCCATAATTCCTTATTTTTCTGTGTTTAAAATTAAAGCACTAGCAAGCAAAAATCAAATTTCAAAGCAAGTGCTGTGCTGAGCTGATCATAAGTAACTTTACTGCGAAGATTATATTTGACCCCCAACTCCATAAAAGGCGAAGAAAAGGAATGCACTACTTCCTTCCAATGGGGAAGATCATCATAGAATTTATGGAGCACTTCCTGTTCCTGAGCAGTAAAGCTCACCTGACCTGAGTTGGACTTATGATTTTAGACATTATTCTAGTTGGTCTCTGTTTCTGTACTTCAGGAACCAAAGAAAGAAATGAGAGTATCATTTCAAGGTCATTTTTGGTATATTGAAATTGTTCATTAAACTCTCCGAGCACCGGTCTCATTTTACTTAGCCTTGCTTCTTCTTCTTCTTCTTCTTCTTCTTCTTTCACTGCGGGTCGCGTAGCTTCTTCTGCCGAGTACAGAAATTCTATTTGCTGAGAGCTCTTCCTTTACCCTCTGAAATTTCTTTCCATCCCCACCCAGTGCCATGACTGAATTACCTTCGTACCTTCCAATCGAACTTGAAACCACAACCTTTGACCTCATCGTTGTCGGGACAGGAATCCCCGAATCAGTAATCGCCGCCGCAGCCTCTGCCAGCGGAAAAACCGTCCTCCACCTAGACCCAAACTCCCTTTCCATCCCCACCCAGTGCCATGACTGAATTACCTTCGTACCTTCCAATCGAACTTGAAACCACAACCTTTGACCTTATCGTTGTCGGGACAGGAATCCCCGAATCAGTAATCGCCGCCGCAGCCTCTGCCAGCGGAAAAACCGTCCTCCACCTTGACCCAAACTCCTTTTACGGCAGCCACTCCGCCTCTCTTCACCTTAATGACCTCACTTCCTTCCTCAATTACCATGCTACCCTACCCTCCACCACCGCCGCCAATACCACCTCTGCAAGTAGCAGCCATGATTTCACCGCCCTAAATCTCAGCCTCCAATCGCTATACTCTAACGTTGAGACTGCCAACTATGCCCCCGAAACGCTAGCACAACACTCCACACAATTCAGCGTCGACCTTGGCGGGCCAAGGGTTTTTCTTTGCGCCGACAAAGCCACCGACCTTCTGATCAAATCGGGCGTAAACTCGTAATTGGATTTCAAGGGCATCGAAGCGAGCTTCATTTGGGATGGAAGTGGGAGGCTCTGTGATGTGCCGGACTCTCGATCAGCAATATTCAAAGACAAGAGCTTGAGTCTTCTAGAGAAGAACCAGCTCATGAGGTTCTTCAAGCTTGTTCAGCAGCATTTGGGAGCCTCCAACGGCAATGATGAAGGGAGGGAAAGTTTGAAGATTTCAGAGGAGGATTTGGAGAGCCCCTTTGTTGAGTTCTTGAAGAAGATGCGGTTGCCGCCCAAGATAAAATCGTACAGATCGCATTGCCTTTCTCTATCTGTTAGTGACAGCGCTTTTTTTTCCCATGTCTCATTTGTTTTGATAAGACTGCTTTGCTTTACTGGGGTTTTGAGTTTTCCCCATTGCTTCAGTGAGCTGTTGGCGATTGAAACATTTATAGATACCCATTAGTACTCTTTGCTGCTTGTTACATTATTTATCGTAAAAATGAAAAGGGGAATATAGTTTTTATTATTATCTATACTTCTGTTGTTTTTCCTTCAAACAAAGCAAGCATTGGTTGTCCTTCTAATAGTCTACACCAAGAAAGGGGTCGTTTTTATCCTGAAACATGTTTCTCAAATGAGTTATTCTGTTTGGTTTGGTCACCTCGAAGAGTTTTATTTTCGCTATTCTGAGATATTTTTTTGTTTCTTCCATATAGGATTATTCTGTATGCCATTTGCTTGGTAGATTATGATCAAGATAACTTGGAAGTTTGTAAATCTGTGCTTAAGACCAGAGATGGGATGGAGCGGTTAGCTCTCTACCAAAATTCGATTGGCAGGTTAGTTTTGTTATTAGGTTTTGTACTTAACGTTTATTATATGACATTTTAGGTACTGTGTAGTACTATTGTAGTGATGCTCGACCCAGTACCTCTGTAGTATGTATACTATCAATGAGTTTATTTATTCATCCATGATCTAGGCTCAGTTTGAATATTTTGAAGAATAAGTCTTTGAGTAATAAAAAAAACTGAAGAAACTCCACAATGTTTGATGGCAATGGTTTATGATTGTGGAGAACATGTACAGCTGTCTAGAATGGGAAGCAATAAGGAAGTATGAATGGGCGGAATCCTGTCAATTTCATTGAAATTAAAATTTCAGAAAAGAGAGCTTTTCTTCTTAGATGTGTTGTATTTCTTATGTGAGCCAACTGATTTTGATGTGTCCCTTGAATCAATACTTATTGGCCTCAAAGTTATATAAAAGAAGCTAGTATGCCACAAATAGGTTCTTTATCATTCTTGTTCTTCTTAGGTATGGTGCGTCTGGGGCTTTGCTTTATCCTACTTATGGTCTTGGGGAGTTATCACAAGCCTTTTGCCGTCGCACTGCTGTTAAAGGTTGCATTTATGTAAGTTTAAGCGGAAGTGTCTGTTACTTAATTTCAAGGAAAAAAGTATCCTAAAGTTATTGGCCTGTACATACTTCTTCATATCTGTCCACCCTTATTTATTTATTTATTTATTATTGGCCTATATGTGTGGTCTTATTTAACTTTTACTCTTTTCTTTGTTGAAATTTTTGGTTTGTCTCCAACTCTGTATTTTGCAAATTGTGAATCATGGTATTTGTAAAAAGAATGGTGGGTTAGGTTAATGTTTTAGCTCTACTTATTTTCTTTTATAGGAGTTGGAGTTATGTTCATGTGCATTAGTTCCTACTGCTTAATCCATAGCATTCACTGGAAGTATAGATAAACATACATACATACATACATACAGTTGGAATGCTTATCCTTGTCTGAAAAATATTTTAATGCAGGTTCTGCGAATGCCAGTGACTGCTCTGCTTATTGACCAGGTATGGGCATGAGGGTACTTATTGTTGTTTCTGATGTAACATATTTATGGAAATAAATTTTTACCTGAAAGTTGCGAATTAGTTAATGTTTATCAAGGACTTTTGCAGAATAGTGGACAATACAAGGGTGTTAGATTAGCTTCAGGCGAGGATTTGTTTAGTCATCAGCTGGTTTTGGATCCAACCTTCATAGTTCCTTTGCTGCCAGCTTCATCTCCACCAGACCTGAGAGAAAGTTTTCAAGTTTTAAGTCTGAAAGATGATAAAAGAAAGGTGGCTAGGGGAATATGTATAATTAGCAGTTCCTTGAAGCCAGATATATCACATTTTTTGCTCATATATCCTCCTAGATGTAAGAATTAACTCTGGTTATGTTAGTGTGCTTTGTTGAAACTGAATAATAGAACTAAAATTGTTTGTCTCCTTTCCTCCCCCCTCCTCCCCAGCTTTGTTTCCTGAGCAGGATACTTCAATTCGGGCTCTCCAGATAGGAGGCGGTTTGGACAAACTGGCTGTTTGTCCATCAGGCATGTATGTTTATGCTAAATTTTTGAAGATAATAATTCTCTCCCTCTCTCTGCATTGACACAGAGATATATACACATTTTCTTTTATCTTTTATCTTGACATTCTTTTTAACTTTTTTTAATATCTTGATGGCTAAATATTTGGCAATTATGCATTACATGTACAACTTCAAGTATATGTTAGGCACATCATATCTGTTCTCCATGCTATAGCAATGAGATCTGATAGACCAACTACCCTGAAGCAATGAAAAAGAACTACCACTTGCCACCTACATATGTGGATTTGTAACTGTATATTTAATGAACCCAAGTTGGTTGACTTATTAAGCTCTAAAAATAGAAATGGTCAAACCTTTGGTTTCCTGTAGTTATGATATGGAACTGCCTAAATACTTGGTCCTATTGCCTAGAAATGACTAATGTTAGGTCGCGAAGTATATCAACTTGTTAATAGTTATTGACTCTTATCTAGTCATGGTTGCTATTCTTTCTTCTTTTGGGATTGTCTTTAAAAAAAGAGTTTCTATACCGGGTATTTACCATTGTATATATGGATTAGATATTAGATACCCACCCTCACACTTTCCAGGAAACTGTTAAATTTGACTTTGTTTACCATCTCTTCTTCAGGTTTGTGTTGTACTTTTCTGGTTTATGTGATGATGCAGGACAGGGGAAAAGGTTGCTACATGCAGCCATGAATGCTCTTCTCACCCTTCCTGTTTCTGCGAATCCTGAAAGTGGTTCTGCAGCTGGTAGTGAAGATGCAGAAGTAAAACCCACCCTGCTTTGGAGCAGGTTATACATTCAGGAGCTCACAACGTTGCCCACTGTATGTCTGCACTAAAGTTTGTTTCTCAGTAATTCTATGTCTTGCATTGTGATTGTTCGCTTGTTTAATGCTTTTTTGTTCTTTGTCGCCTTTGATGTTTAGCAATGATGATGAGGATGTTGATGTGTTCTCATAGATGTATTAAATTTGTGGATGCCAATGTGATGACTTGTTCTCATCTGTGGATGATTTGAGGATCAAGCTGAAAAAGGGCACATGTGATGTAGATATAATATTTACCTTTTTGGAAAGACATTAGAACCATGTTGTACTGGTTTTTGTAAACGCGACATGAATCTTGATAGAGGTATGACCTGTGATGCCTTTTCTGATTTGCATTGATTTCAGGGTCAATATGAAAATATCATCTCCACTCCGATGCTAGATGGAAATATTAACTTCAGTGATCTGATAGAATCAACTGTGGTGGTATGCCCTCTTTTAACTGGCTTAAGTTTGATAACTTTCACCATGCCTAATTACTTGTTACATATCACCTAATGTTAAGCCCTCATAAAATTTGGTGTTGGTGCTGGTACTTGACAGCTTTTCCAGAAGATGTATCCAGATGAGGTATTCTTTCCGGAGACACCCTCCTCCCCTGAGGTGCCTGAGAATTCAGAGGATGGTACTGAGCTTAGCAATATTCTTCTTTGAATTCAAATCTCTAAGGGTCTTTGCAATATTCTTCTTTGAATTTTTTCGAAAGCGTGAAATTGCTTTGGATGCTGCTCGAATCTCCGGTCCTCCTCCTGCGCAGTGCAGATTGAAGGTTCTGAACATGTTCATTCATTGTCAAAAGCAGGTCTCTTGCATTGCCACATGAGTCTAGCAACCCAACTGAGCCATCAAGTGCTTCCTCCACTAGTGTTTTGCACTGTTGGTGATGGTTGAGAGCTTGTTGGGTCAGTGGAGAGTGAACAAGTTCCTCAATGCAATTATACAACTCTGCAAGACCAGACAAACCCTCCAGAAGAGCCTCACTGCCTAGAGGACTTGAAGTTGCTGCTTCTGCAGCACATGAAAATCTCAAAGTCTTTAACTTGTTGAGCTCTGACTCAATCTTTTGAGAATTGGGGTTTAGCCTAGATGGCAAGCTAATGGACCTCACGGGCACTATGGATGAAAGTGAAACAGCCATCTTCAATCACTTGAAAGAAAAGCTATGTGCTTTGAAAAAAAATCTCTTTACTTTTTCTCACAATTGAAAGTGAACACTGAATTGAATAAACCCAACTCTTTAAGTCTTATATATATATAAGTTATAGCATCAAATGATGAGGATTACATGTATGGCCTTTTTCATGCCAACCCAGTACGGCCTGCATGTGATTGTAAATCTGGGTCACCCTGCAATTTGAAGATCCTGTATCAAATTTGGCCAACAACTACAAATTATATATCTTTTTTCACAAACAACATGTACAGACCGTGAGAGCCGTATGCCTCCTTGCCTCCCCCAATCATTTACCAGTACCATTCTCTCAATCACAATTCAATCATATTCCTTTTGAATTGTTTTATGGACATGAAAGGCTGGCAGTGCTTGGTGGTCTTTTAAGAAAACCAAAAAGAAGG